GTTGCTGGACTGTTCTTGTCTCAACCCATGGGAGTTGCATTCTTTCAATTCTCCTCCCCATCCCTCCAGGAGCGGGGAAGGGGGGAGACCCTGGTGCGGGGGGATGCAGACCTTGACTGCTTCCAGCCTGGCACCACTCACTGGGAGTGAGTGCACGAACTGTCTGTCTGGGTTTAAACCATGACAGCCTCCCATCACATGTGGCCTCAGGTGTGATGGCTACCCACCCCTTGCAGCATTAGGGGACTTCTGAAGGGGGAAATTATGCCATCTGTCTTGGCCACCAAGGGGAACCGGTGCTTTGGTCTTTGGTGCCTTGATCCTGGGTGTTCTGCACACTTGACCCTTGCACATTAAACAATTGCATTTCCCACCTCAGGTGATCAGTCATTCTTTATTAATTAAGTCTTCCATCAATTTCTCCATCACTTTGCCTGGGATTGATACCAAGTAAACTGGACTATATTTACCTGTGTGGTTTCATTTGTCTTGGAATTCTTGTTCAATATTGACATTAACCTTTCAGAATTTCCCCATTATTTCATGACTTATTAAAAATTTGAACACACAAGCTAAAAATATCCTGCATTGAGTCTTGGGGACCACTTTTGTGGACCTTCAGATTTCAAAAACGATTAGCCCTAGTGTTGTCCAAAAAGTGGATTTATGCCCAGCATGCAGTAAGCCAATTTCACACGCTCAGGAGAGATACCGTATTGTGATATCATACCACTAGTGCAAGTTGTTCAATATCTTTATTCATTAGTAACAGGTCAGAAAATACATTATTCCAAATAGAAAGCAGAAATAATTGTTGAGCAACTTTGGGTTTTTCTTTGTTGCTTTTAATGAGTAGGCTGTCTCCAACTAGCAATGAGACTATGGCACTGATAGTTTTTGTGTTATTATTCCTAAGTTTTCTAGAAACTCTTCATCTTAAGCAAAGCCTGAGCAACCATGGACTTTTTTCTAATGTCTTTAGTATTCTTTATCAATTTTCTACACTTCATAAACTCTTATTTATACAAATTTTTATTACCACCCCCTTTTATCCATATGTTGCATATTGCTTTTTAATTCATTATTCCTGCCTCCATTCTTCCGCTGAAAGAGAATGGGCTTTTCACCAATATTATTCAGCTCCTTTACCGTGAAGTAATGGCTTTTTGGCCATTTAATATGTGATTCTTCCTAATAACTTTTACACTCAGTTTCACCTGTAACTTTCCTCAGTTTGGGAAACTAGTGTCTTTAAGTACCAAGTGTATGTGTTACTTGGAGCTACACAGATTATCAGGGTAGTAATGGCAGCTCTCCCTAGGCAGCCTGTGCTTTCTGCTTCAACACAATTTTCCTTGAGACACAGCCCAGTGCCAAAGGAGGACATCAGTCTGCACCCAGACCCAGGCTGCAAAGGGTCTCACTCCTCTGAAGGACACCAGTTTGGTTTCATAGGTGGATGCAGTTTATGAAGCACTCCCCTGATACATAGGCAGAGGAGGTTTGCTGCCTCTGAGGTGCGTGACGTCCCCAAACCAGTAATGGCGAAGAGTGTGCCACCTCCCCTTTTACAGCCTGTGCCCTGCCTAGGCAAGTTTTAGCCAGTGCTTTTAAGACTGCCATTGTACAAAGCCTTCAAGGAGGTTTCAGTAGGCCAGTTATGTCGAATATCTTCCCATTAGGGATTACTTTCAGTTCCTCCTCCATGTTTCCCAGGCTCCTCATGTTGGTCTATAAACCACTGGGAAGCAAGTGCTCTGGTGATGCAGGAGGTAGGAGAGGGTCTCCAGCCAAGGGGAAGCTCCTGATACGCATAACCCTGTGAGAATGGGATGCTTGAGGGAAGGAAGAGGCTGACTCAGAGGTCAGACAGGGCAGAGTTGAACTGAACTCTCCTTAATCCTCTGCCTTGACTGCAAGACTTATCTTTCTTCCCAAATTGCTTTTGAGCTCTATTGCTCCCAGATGTGCAGAAGTGTTTTTAGCGAACCCAAATAGCCTCTCAGTTATCTAGTTGAGAGGGAAATGTCAGATACTGCTGAAGGAAAATCTCAACTTTCTCTCTGTATGTGCATGCTAGCCCATAGCAGAAATAGTTTCATCTAGAAAAATATTATTTTGGGAATCAAAATCAGCACTTTTTCTTGTTTGAGTGTGTTATTTTTCACTTTGCTTGGCACTTCAAGTGCAAGGTCATGTGGCAAGTCATTACACCAGCAATGTTTATCTCCATTTGAAGAACTCTGTCAAGAACTGATTTGAAAAAGCTTTGGGTATTGCCTTTTTTTTCCCTTTCTTGACAACAGCTCCATTATTCAAAGTCTATTTATGTAAAATCAGTTCCTGCAGAGGTATCTTCATTTTAATTGCAGAGAGACGTCTTAAAAAGAAAAAAAAGAAAAAAGTTAATATTCTTAAAGCAGGAATAATCTTTTAAAAAATGATAATGTTAAATTATAACACTACCAGTCCCATAGATTCTATCAGAAAATCAGGAAAATATTGTTTAGAGAGACCTCTGGAGATGGCGTGGACAAACCTCCCTCTTGAAGCTGGAGCAGCATCAACCTAGCTCAGGCCAGCTTGTGCACTCACACAACACAAACACACGCGTTTCCGTCTATCTCTGTACGTATGTACATACACATCAAATTACAACTTTTATTGGCCTTCACTGTTTTTAGTAGTTTTTAAAACCTTACACAGGTGCTGTATCTTAGAAATACAGCTTTTAACACCAGCTGGTTTCACTTTGCTAAGTGTTTTATCTAGGAGATTAGATTATACACCCTAGGGAAGAAAGTGACTTAACCGCATTGTACAGCAGGTAAAGTGCTTTAGGGTCCGCATTGTGTTTTTAAGACCAATATAAGGAAGCAGCAAGACTTATCTTAATCTTGCTGATCGCCTCAATTAACACAGTCCCTATAGTGTCCTCCTTGATATCTAATCCCCATGGTTTCTTGTTCTATGTGTTTTGCTCTGATAGTGTTATCAGATCATTGCTAAGGGTATAAAAGTACATATTCAGTAGGGGAGGAGGTGGCAGTTACTGTGAGAAACCACGTGCTAAATTAACATGGAAATCAAGCAATGGACTATTAAGTCTTTCACATAAGGGAAAGAAATGTACTAGATATGGGCCCTAAAAATAAAAAGTATTAAAAAAACAAAAAAAGAAGAGGGAAAAGTGAACAAGAAAGAAGGCTAATTATAAGATGAATTCAAAAGGCAATGCCATTCATAACAACATGTCTACTCCTGGCAAGCACTTTCATCATTTGGAAATAATCTTTCATACACAGCATCATAAGCAAGAGGCAAAAAAGAGAGGGGATGTCCTCCCACATCTCACACATCCAAGATGTAGTGAAATTATCTCTACACCCATGGGACTTTTCCTTATTCCTGAGGGTAGACTCTACTCCCAGATGGAGTGCATTCCTGAGTCATGTGAAGACAAATTGATGAAATGATGATCCATATCTTTCCGGCTAATTCTGCAAACGGTGCCTAGCATAAAGATTGCTGTGGTTAAAAAGAAATAAATTAAAAAAATTGCCTGGGAGAGAGTAAAAATCATTCTGGGAAGCTGACAACCTTGAACTGGCAATGAGCACTGCTGCCAGAAGCAATGCCATGGCTGAAATTGCTTTCTGCTCTCTGATGTGCCATCTGATGCTCTGGATGGCTTTCAACAAGTGTCCCAGGGCCAGGCTGCTGCTGTGAGGGAGCACAGCTGTCACAGCAAAAGCACCCGTGGGTTCTTCCCCAGGGCAGCAGGGAGGCAGGCAGTGCTCTTCCTCACCAGCGTGCACCCTGCAGTGAAAACCTCTCCTCAGGGATCACATCCCCATCAGTAAGAGCTTACTTTCCTCTGAAGTCTCATGATGAGAGCTCTCTCTGAATGCTTTAGTTCAGGATTTTGCTTTCTGTTTTCACCCTCCCCTCCCACTGCACCCTCAGTGTGCAACACATGGGATTGTGTTTTGGAGAAGGAGGGTGGAGGGTGAAATGTTCATTTCAAACCCTGCATCTCTAATCATGTGAATCCTCACATGCTTTATCTGAATCAGTCTTTTAGATCAGCTCGGTGCTTACACCTCGCTGGGTGACTGCCATGAAAGAGAGCAGCAGAGGCTCTGATGGTGAATGATTGTTGCAAAGACTTTTTCTTCTTCTCTTTCCTCTGCCAAAATTTTAAGCAATGTACACCTGTCTCTGAGCTAGAAAACCCACTCTGTCTCTTTTAATGCCTTTCCTAACTGACTTCCTGACTGTATGTTACAGTGACATGCCAGGACAGCACTGAAAGGAAACATTTCTGGAGGAGGAACAGCATTCTACTAGTCGTATGTGAGAATATCCCATCCTTACTACTCAGAATGCAAACAGCACCTCGTTTGCATTTCTGTAGTTTAAATGTAGATGGTCTAGGATAAGTCATTGTCAGATGCCTGTAAATATTGATGAGCACTCCAGGACTTGGTTTGTAACCATTTCTTTCTCTTCTGTCTCAATCTGAGAGCTGCAGAGGTATCGATGGAGCTTCCGGGAGGGAAACACACACCTTTGCTCAGTGGGTGACAGCGGAAGAACAGAAAAATGTTAGGGAAGAAAATTTCCAGATGAATAATGAATCAAGCCAGGTTGGAAGCTGGTGAATCTTAATTAGAAACTGACATATCGGCAGCCTCTCATCTTCGTGCACTCAAAGGGATGCTCGCTAGCAGCTGTGTGGTGACCATAATGCCAGCAATGGAACCTCTCGCTGGACCAGGGTAACATGCAGCCACCTGGGTTGGGGATGACATCGCTGCCTCTCTCATGCAGAAGAAAGGGCAGAGGATGTGCTAGCAAAAATGATGGGGAAAGGTGACTCTGTGGCCACCCTGCCTCCCTCCAGAGATTATCAGCAGGTCTGGTGAATTGTACTCATCTCGTCTATTGTGAATAGGTCTTGTCACTTCTTCTTTCTGCTTTAATTTTTTTCCTGATAGGAGTTTCAACACCGCTATTTGAGATGTCTTAGTGAAGTGCCTGAAGTTACAAGGATGGAAGTAAAAACATCAATCTGCATCAGCTCTCTCCTGCAGAGTTGTCATCAGTCATCTTGTCTGGACTAGCAGGTGAGGGACATCATGGCCCAAAGGCCAGCCCCAGAACCAGGAGTCAGGTGAAGTTCTCCCAGACTGCACTGTGAGAAGGTCATGTCCTTGCGCCTCAGTTTCTCCAACCCTAAAATGAGAAAAACACTTATTGCTCCAGTTTATTTCATGTTTTAGAGGAAAAGTACTCCATAAGTGCTGTGGTTTATTATTCTAATGTGACTGTAAAATCATGATGTCTTTATTGCAAAATGATCTTTAAAACATGAAGCATTAGGATGGTGACTGAAATCATTAGTATCAAATTGTTCTGCTTTTGCCCTGTCACATTGATACTTCAAAGCAAAATTGTCTCGTGGGCGTTTATAAGACTTTATGAGGATAACTTGTCTTTTCAAACCTTGTTCAGGGGAGAAGCAAAAAAAGCCCCCAGATGTTTTCTTAATAAAAAAGGACTGGGGTTTCTGCCTATTTAATTCTGAGGCTGTCCTTTAATATTTAAATTCCAAAGCCACTAACAATCAACATGATGAATGATCAGCATGATGAAAATGAGCTTCCGATTGTTCACAAGTGGTGCAGGCAGATGTCCCCACACCTCGGTCTCATCCGAGGCTGTTGAGCTCACCAAGACGTTTGAGGGGGTGACTGCCATCATGCCCCATCCCTCCCTCTGCCCACAGAAGGGGGGCAGAGGTGTTTCTGCTCTCCAGCACAAGTGCCCCTTGGCAAGAACCACATTTCCCTGCTGTGTTTGGAAACTTAGCAGAGGGAAGCCACATCCATGATGCAGCTTTCTTGGACACCACCTCAGCAGAAATACAGAATAAACAAGATGGTATTGTGCCTTGCACAGCTGCTGGGATTGAAAAGTGCCGGGTTCTCAGAACTGTCCTATTTTCTTTGTTTTACAGGTTCTATTTCCACCAGATTAACAAGGGTTTAAGTCTTTGTCTTCCCCCTCCATCTTCATTCAGGCTGGACTGCATCTCAAATCATGTTTCACCTTCTGGCAGAAAACCTGGTGGCATTTCAGTAGGCTCAGTGAAAGCTTTCTGCTATGTGGAAACACACCATGAACATCTTTCCTCCATCAACAGCTCCACTGGGACAACCTTCTTACTCTCCTTCAACTTGTCATTCCTGGGTCTTCTCTTCCCTTGCACATGTTTTGTAGATAATGAATATGCAATTGGTTCCCCTATTTTGACCCAATCCATATGTGCAAGGAGGGAAGCTTTCTTCTCTGTCTCACTGCACATGGCATGGTACTACCACTTTCTGGTTTGTTTTTTTTTTTCTTTTTCATCCCAGTTATTTAGCAAAAAAATACTACTGGAAAAATGTGTTTATTGGCTTCTTCATTCCCTCTTTTCTTCCTTGCCACCTCTCTGAAATAACTTTAGGATTTGCTAGGTAGCTTCCAAACAAGTTTGATCAAATGGAAGTAGCTTCAAATGCTACAAATATAGCAAAGAATTAAATGCATCTGGAGCTGTTCCCTGGCATAAAACAGTTCTTGCCCATGTTATTAAACATTATTCTCCCCACTCTGTGTATTGGGAAAGGTTCTGGGACTGACTCCACATCATGCTGCTCAGCATAGGCCAGAATGGAGCAAGGGATCATCATGACCTCTGGGGTCTGGGATCTGTCACTGTAGGTGATAGTGTGCTCATGAACATGGATTGTTTTTTCAGGATGGATGTAACCAAGTGGAAATGCCTGCAAATTGAACAGAGATAAGCAGATAGAAGGCAGCTAGGAATCTGCACCAAGCCTTCTTCTGACACCAGAGAGCCTGGCCACAGGACACAACTCCACAACAAACTATATTTCATCAGTTCAGGAGTAAGTTGGTAGTGACTGGTTGAGTGGAGCAGAGGCTCTAGGTTTATGCGGATGTCTTGGTGCAGGGCCATTTGCTTGTACAGTACTGTACCGGCTGCTTCAGAAAATGTGTGGGAAAGTGCTATTCCCAGGCCTTCACTTCAAACGTATAACAAAGCCACTGGTCATGGGCTGGGCAAAGAGGCAGCCTCATCATCACCTCTATCACATGGTCTAGGGCCCAGTCCTGGTGCCTTTCAGGCATGATAACGAAGCTACCCCCAATCTAAATGGAAATCATAGAATCGTAGAAACTCTAATGGACTATAATCCCACCACCACAGTGGGAAACATCTGTGGTCCCCAAAGAAGTACGACCCAAAAGGGTTGCACAAAGCTGGGAGAGGGGTCTGAACAGGACTGTTTAAAAGTCTCCAAATTATAGGGGACATCCTATAGGCAAAGCTGGGGAACACAGCAAGCCACCAGGTACAGGGGGATAGAGACAAGTCCTCCTGTCTTTGACCCTTCCTCAGGTTTCCACAATTTGCTCTACAATGTTTTTGAGAACTTGGTTTCTGTAGGATTTCTGGGAAGTCCCTTTTTGCTGCAGTGCTGTACAGAGGTCCATGATACACAGCAGTACTTGTGAATTTATGTACACAATGTCACAAGTGAAGTTCGACGAAGGAAAGAGCAATACTATGGCTCTGATGCAGTTATTGAGTACGGCTACTATCGAGTTTTATGGCAAACCAGTCCATTAGCATTTAAATTGATTCTTAATTATTTTCCTAGAAATTCAAAGTACTATAAGCTTTAAATCCAGGACTGGTAATGTTGTGGTTTTTATGTCTAATTTTAGATTTAATTTTTAGTCCGATAGATTGCAATTACATGGCCATGCAATTTCAGAGCTGCTTTAAAACACACAGATTTGTGTTTTGCTGTTAATGGCTAAAAGAAAAAAAAAATAAAAGAGAAATGAAATGGGCATTACCCCATGTCCCTATTCAAAAGTGATGGCAGATCCTGAAATTCTTGGATGTAAACCGCTCATGCATTCTAGTTACATGGCCTACAAATTAATGCCCTAGACAGAAGATATATCTTTAAAGCTGTGTACAGGATCCAAAATATAAATCAAAAGGACCTGGGCAATCCTGTGAGTTGAATAGCACAGATGTCCGCCAGTGAATAGCTATATTGTTCCAAACCTGGTGTAAAATACAAGTGAAAAGGTTTGAATGGCCTCATCCAGCCTCTGTCCACACCTCATGGGATTCAGCCATCATGATGCTCTCTGTTTGACAGCATCTGCCTGACCAGTGTCTCTGGCTGGAGAGGAGCAGTGGTGGTGGATTGAAGGGGTAAGTCACACCACACTCACAATATATTGATATTGATAGTGTGTGAACGTGAGCAGTGCCCCTTGTCTCAGCTGTATACTTCAAGCCATTAGTTTGTCTGCTAAATTTCACCATCCACCCCTAAAGTATTATAAAACCCACTTCATATTGGTACAAAAAGGCAAAAATCACATAAGCCAAAAGTGTGGCTTTTCAGTAACCTTTGTGATGGGGAGCACATTTCCACTCTATTTATTTGATCCTGTTAGTTAATGTCACCCCATGTCAATCCTTGTGAGTTCTGTGATTTCAAGAGGTGAGGTTTTTTCCAGCTGTGGTTTCCATGGCTAAGTACTCTGCTGCCACTTACTCCAGTCATGACTGAAACAGGAAATTCCTCAGAGACTGACAAGCTAACAAATGGACACTTTAGAAATATTGCATTGCTCATCTGCTTGAATCTTTATTTTAATTACCTTGAGGAAGATATAAAGGATGCTTTTTCAGGTGTGAGTTAATACAAGACCCTGGGGGGAAAGAAAGAAACTGTTCAAGGGAAAGAAGTACTTGTGCTATTTATTATAGCTACAGAAGGCTGACTTCACTCAGGCATGCCCTGTTGACAAGTGCTGTTAATGTTATATATGAAACACCCCTTCGCAGGCTTCACTGGGAGCTCTGATAAGGGAACTGGTTTAGATGAAGTACCAAAACACTGACAATCACACATTTTTGGTATCACATTAAAAATGAAACAAGTTGCTTGAAAACATCCTTGTTGAGTATTAGTGAAGACATCTGACTTCCATGTGAGAAAGGCTAGGTCATGCTCTGCATGTTTCTTATCCATTTAACAAGCACTGATGTAGGGAATCTAAGGCTATAGAGAAATTACTGTCACAGGATTTTATTTTATTGAACTAAATCTTCAATACGAAGGGTGTGACCGCAATTTCTCTTTAACAATAAAACTTTGATTATGAACTGAATGTCACCAGTTCAGCAGGGTGCATTTCACTAAGCGCTGAATTCACCTCCTTGTCAGGAACATATTTCTGCTCATTAAAACATGAGGCTACTTAGACCGTTTTTTTGTACTGTATCAAAGGGGACACTGCTCAGCAGATTCACATTTCCTCTCCCACATTCCTCTTACAAGAGTTACTGTACTTGTAAAAATCCCAGTCAAAAACCTCAGAAAGTTATCTGAAGAGCCGAAGTTAAATCAAAACCTTACAAGCAAATTCTCTTGATGAGATTTGAATTCAGCATTACATCCAGGTGTTACAGATCGTTCAAATCAGTCCGTGACTCGGAACCTTTGAAATAGAGCTGATCCCAGTGGGACTGTGAACTTTCCATCTTTGACTACCTATATGGATTGTTACAAAAGTTAATGCATTTATTGGTATGAACCTAGCCCAAACCTCAGTACAGTCAACAGGAACATCACCACTGACTTCAGTGGACTTTGAGCCAAAACATCTCACATTACCAAAAAAAAAAACAAAAAACAGAACCAAACCTAAACATAACAAAACAGAGCAATCAAAGATATGACTGGTTGGTCTGGCTTCAGAGAGCACAAAAATGGCTTCAGTTTTATGCTCACACTTCTACCCAACTTCCCAAACCTGTCTGGTTTATGCACCCTGTGGAATGTCATCTTTCTTAAACTCTGTTTTTATAGGCCTGCCATAGGAATAAAGTAAAAAACAAAGCCTGAGATTGCAGAGACTTGCATTACTCTAACACCGTATTTCTGGGTGCTAATCTCAGGGCTTCATACAGACTGGCACAGGGACCAAGAGAAGAGCTCCCTCCCTGGTTTTAACCAGGGTTGGATTAGTCCCTTTGAATATGAATATATTTTGAATATACCTCTGTCAAATGGTTCCCAAAATTGGGCAACTGGGCTCTGTCTGTGCTAAGGTTTCCCTCATCCAGAGATGTCTGAAAGATGATTTCCTTGCTCACATTCCCAGGAGAGGGATGGGAAACAACTAGATGGGTCACAAGGAAAACTTGCGGAAGTGCCTTGTACATCTCCAACTAAGATGAAGCAGATAGCTTGCTGAATATAGCCAGAAGGATTTGACCATAAAAGAACTGTTATTGTCTACTGAAATGATCTCACTAATACCTCTTTCTCTCAGTGACTACATCCTTTTATATCATATATCTGGTGCACTTTTCTTCCTGAGAGCTCATTAGGTATGCTTTTGAGGTACAACCTCAGTAATGACTTCCTTCCAATGTAATTGTATTTTAATTACACGTTTAAAGACAAATTCTTTCCTGGTCTATCCCAACTAAAACTCTTCGAGACCTTATTCGTTTTAATTAAGTAGAAGTTGGTGCAAAATTTCTAGCTGCTGAATTCCACAGTAAAAAGTTTAAATTCATTTAAACATGGATTAAATTTCCATAAGCATTTCAGCTGGTAGAGTGCTTCCTCATTTAGTCTTTCATGGCAATAACATGAAATATATGGAACATAAAGTGCTTTCCAAAAGATTGTATTAGAATGTAGACCATCTTTAAATGCTTCCAATCTGCCACAGCCACCTGAGGGATGTTTGCTGCAGGCCATAGCAGGACTTTTCTTTTATTAAGACCAGTAGCAGCGGTACTCGATAAAAGATGGTAGAAACTGTTTTCGAGTTCTTTTACTCAATTATGTCTATATGCTCAGTTCTGAAGGAGGGAGGGCCAGGCACAGGGTCTATGCAGGAAGCCCTTAAAGATGGCATCAGGACACAGACAGCAAGAGGGTGACCTGCAGCTGGAGATAAATTGTCCCTTTATAACATATGGGACAGAGCTTATGTTATCAGCCAGTGTGGTATGTGCATCACCGCAGTTGTAGCCTCACTAGTGAACTGCTCCATGGTCCAGGCGAAAAAGACAGCCAGGAAACAGAGAAGGCAAGCCGCCAGAAGGGACTCAGGTCACTGAGTGCTCAAATAGCTAGTCTGAGGCCTTCATGTGAGCATGGATTCAGGAGGGAAGAACTGAATTGATACATGGACTTAGCCATGAAAGACAGTGAGAAATCATGGAAGTAAAACTTTTTACTGTCTCACTGAGCAAGGAGGACAAGAAGTGA